GGACCCCTGCGTGAATACGGAATATTTATACGGACTTTCAGGTATAATAATTCTATACTATTAGTATAGCTTAATTTGAGGTTTAAAGTTAGACTCTTATTTACTAGATTATTTAAGTAATCTAATTGTATAAATATTTTTCAGATTATTAATACGTTGACTTAAACTCGTGAAATAATGTTAGTGACATTGGACAAAGGCGTGGGAACCAATGAAAATGAACTAATTTCATAATATATGATATGAGTTTAGATGATACACTGATTTTCCTTTTGCAGTAATTAAATGGGGAAAAGACAGGACTACCTATAAAAGTGAAACTATTTATCCTGCCCTACCCATTAAAGAATTCTACCCACTAAATAATTACAGCTCCTACCCATTTAATAAATAAACGGCAATAACAAAATAACTACCCACGCTTTTAATGCCCTACGTATAAAAACGCAGAAGCTGCTCAAAATTTCAGAAAATTTGCGCACAAACGTAGAAAAACGCAGAAGCTCCTCAAAATTTCAGAAAATTAGCGCACAAAATTGAGATTTCCACCGATCGAAGAGCAGTAAGTGTGAAAAAACAGATCGAAGATGCTGATTCGGATTTTAACAGATCGAGATTTCACTGTTCTCTTCAGATTTTGATTTCGCTGTTGATTTGATTTTGATTTCGGAGCTAAACTTCTGAATTTTAGCTGAAAATTCTAATCTAGGTTTGGAGATCTGGAGATCTAGAGGTTTGATTTCGCTGTTGTTTTGTTGAAATTTCGAACACTGTTGATTTCGAACACTGTTGAAATTTGCATTGTTGAGATTCAATTTTGGACATAAAAGTGATTATAACTTTAGAATCATGGAAAATATTCCAATTCTGCTACAACATAGTGGAGAATGGGATGATAACAATAATTTCATAAATTTTCATGTTGATGCAATTCTAATAAAGACCTATTGGAAATTTGAACAACTTCTTAGAGAAATTGCAAAGCAACTGCAAAAGGACAGTAAAACAATAGTTATTCAGTATGCTATTGCTCAAGGATATCCACCAATTACAATTTGCAGCGATATCAGTGTTAGTGTTTACATGGAATTGAAAAAATCAAGTGCGGGGATGACAACATTTTCCCTGTGTGTGTCGTTTGCTAAAAACACTATAGATGCAAGCACCTCCAGTTTCGATGTTGCTCCAATTTCATCAGAAATTGCAGAATTTGGAAACACTGATATGATTACTACGTTCGATGTGCAAGAAGGAGATGACGCCATTTTAGAACTTGATGATGCAAACATCATAACTGATCAATTTCATCAAAATGTTGAAAAAGGACAAATTTACAAAGACAAGAACCTGTTGGCTCTCGTTATGAAGCAGTATGCCGTAAGGGAAAAATGCCAATATCGGGTTCATAAATCATGCCCAAGAAGGTTCGTCTGCATGTTTTCAAGTAAAAAACTATGTGATACCTATATAGTATATAAGTATGCTAAATCAGTATACTATGCGAGTATGGAATTGTATTGGTTTGTCTGTGTTTTTTATCAGTGATACTGGTATAGTATATAAGCATGCTATATCAGTATACTATGCGAGTATATAACTGTATTGGGTTGTCTTTGTTATTATCAGTAAAATATAATACCAATATAGTATATATGTATGCTAAATCAGTATACTATGTGAGTATAGAATTGTGCTGCTTTGTCTATATTTTTTATCAGCAAAATATGATACCGATACAGTATATAAGTATACCAACAGAGTATACCATGTGAGTATATAATTGTACGAATTTTTGTGTGTGTTTTTTATCAATAGAACATGATACATAACTGTATTTGTATTATAAACAGGTATATCCTTGAATGAGTGGATGAAAGATGCACTTGGAGACTTAAAGCATCAAGCCTGCGAGCATCAAATCTTTTCAAAGTGACGAATTTCAATTCTGTCCACAGTTGTTTAACTGATAAGAGATTTTGTTCACAAAAGCAAGCCGTCTCAGCTTTTGTTGCAGCTGTGGTACAAGATAAACTTGTTGACCCGAAAACCATATACACACCAACAGATATCCAAAGAGACATCCAAAAAATATATGGTATGGACTTAAGCTACATGCAAGCATGGAGATCAAAAGAAAAAGCAATGCAATTATTGAGACGATCACCAAGTGAGTCATACAAGAAAATGCCAACATATCTTGATATGTTAGAGTACGCTAACCCAGGGTCAGTGACACGACTACACACTGAAGTAGATGGGAGCTTGTTGTATGCATTCATAGCTATATATGCATCGATTAGAGGATGGGTCTATTGTAGGCCAACAGTTGTAGTTGATGGAAGTTTTTTAAAGTCAACATATAGAGGGACCATACTCATGGCTTCCACGCAAGACGTAGAAGGTAAGAATACAATCCAATTACATTCAGTTAAAGAAACAAAAAATATTTTCAAATATTATATGATACCAGTATGGTATACAAGTATACCAACAGAGTATATAATTTTTTTGCCACACACCTGCACCTACCTATGACTATACTACTATATGAAATACTAAATTAATATTTTGGGTACAATCCAATTACATTCAGTTAAAGCAATAAAAAATATTTTCAAATATTATATGATACCAGTATGGTATACAAGTATACCAACAGAGTATATAGTTGTTTTGCTACACACCTGCACCTACCTATGACTATACTACTATATGAAATGCTAAATTAATATAGTGTTTTGTAATTGATATTTTGTTCTTTGGATTTACAAGACAAATTCTACCCCTCGCATATGTAATTGTTGATTCGGAAAATGATGCATCGTGGGAATGGTTCTTCGTGCAGTTCAGAGAAACCTATGGACAAAGAGAGGGAATGTGCATTGTATCAGACATGCATGATGCTATATGGAAAGCAACTTCAATTGTCTATCCAGAAGTCCCTCATTGTGCATGTATGTTCCATCTGTGGAACAACATAAAGACAAACTTCAGGAAGAGCCAAAAACAAATCAAAGAAGTATATTTTGCGTTAGCAAGAGCATACACTGTTGAAGAATTCAACAGGCATATGGCAGAGTTAGAAGCTATTGATAGTAGCGTGAAAACATACCTGATGGATATTGGATATGATAAATGGTCCCGGGCGCATTCCAAGGCAAATAGAACCATGACCATGACATCGAATATTGCGGAATCAGTAAATGCAACAAACAAGCACGCAAGAGACCTCCCAGTTGTGAATTTGCTTGACTTTATGACAACATTGATTCAAAAATGGAATTACGCAAATCGGAAGGATGCAGTGGAATCATTTATGAAGATTGGTGCAAAGTATGAAAAAATATTGGCAGATAATACTATCTTATCACAGATGATGACGATATGCATTTTCAAAATCATAAAAACACTGCATGTACTGTATTTTTACTTTTTTACCTTAGTGATTTCACTAAACAACTGAATATTGTTATTTAAAAAATACTATTACTTCATATAGCTAATGACTTTTCTTAATTAAAATTATACGAGGTGTTGCCATCAACTGAATTATTACATTTAGTAATTGATGGCCAAACAAGAAATGTGGTGCGCCTACATGAAAGAAACTGCACTTGTGGGAGGTTTCAGCTAGACGATATTCCATGTCCACATGCAATGGCACT